TGTCACCTCTTTCTTCCTTTTTTTTCATCGCATTGGCTCGTACCATTTGACATCGCAAATAGGCTGATATATTATTTTATGACATCAAAAAATGCACCTAAATAAATAGGGAATTCAAAGGTGTACCCCTGCATTTCCTTCAAATAAACTGAACGTAGCTGAGTCAGAGTGGGTCTGTGCACAATGCGAATTCTTGATATTTGGTTTAGAAAGTGGTTAGCTTAATCTAGTACCAAAAATGCATATTTTTAAAAAATGTACAAAATCGTGAAATGCCTAACGAAAGGCCAGAATAAAATCCAATTTTTATCCGGCACTTGAGTAGATTCGGGCAAAAAGCTGCTGGCAGAAGCTTCTTTTCTGAGACTTAGCGATGGAACTGAGTTGGCATCAGTGACCGCACAAGTATACACGCTTAATTTTTAATCCTCCCAATGTTTAGTGGCTCCTGGAAAATTAAAAAAAATTACTTGGAAACTGGAGATTACATACCAGCGAACACACATAAAAGACGATTGGTGCGACTGTAGTGACCCCACTCCATGCGCACGTTCGCGACTGCTAGCAACTGCGCATGCACCAATGTCTGCCTACCCCTGTCTGACCAATCACCTTCAAAGCTGACTAACACAAGACCTCACTGTGACGACTGCCACGCCCACGCATTTCAAATGCCGGTCCTTGCGCCCGGACACACACCAGTCCGACTGTTAACTTCCTCTCTACAGAATGTACCATTCCTCACCTCAGGTGTCTAACTTCTTCTCTTGCCCTACGGGTATACTGCAGGTTTGCGCCTTAATTTCATACGAAAGTAAATAAGCTCAGAAAAAGAAGATGCGGTCATTGGAACAAGAGTTTTATTTGCCTGACGTTTCGGACTCCCTCGGAATGATAACATAGTCATGGTCATGTGCAGATGGGGTGGAGACATGCACAAGCTGCACGGTTTTTATAGTCCCTAGTGGTCATCCGCGTGTGTGTGATAACTTTTCACCTCTGTAGCCACCGCTTGGGTCTTGATGCGCTACTGGCTTGATAATTCGCGTCCGACTCTCTAATTGCCACAATTGCCTTGTCGGCGTCGGATGCGGTCCTGATAATTGCGTGACAATCGGAAGTGTTCAGCCGCCTACTCATCCCACTTGGAGTCGGAGTTGCGTACAGGCCAGAAGCAACCATCAGGCGCCGGGTCATGAGACTGAAGGACCCATTGCCACGGCAGGAAACGGCTGGAGTCGTTTACCGGATCTAGTGCAGTTGTGGACAAAGCTCAGGAAACGGCTGGAGTTGTTTACCGGATCTGGTGCAGTTGTGGACAAAGCAACTCACGTCGGAGAAACCGGAAGATTACTGCGGACGCGAATGGCCGAGCATGCAGCGG